GTGCTTCCGGTGAGGTCACCGGAAGCACTTTTTCATCAAAAAAAGATGGCGGCGCCCAGCTGATGCCGGTACCGGGCCGCGGCGCCCAGCTGATGCCGGTACCGGGCCGCGGCGTAAAAAAGGTTGGGGATCACTGGGCTAAGGGGAAGGATAGAAATCATGAGGATGCTGCAATAGTTGTAAATCTGGGCTACTTATGTGACCACAAGAAGACTTCAAGGACAGCACTGTATTCAGTTGCTGAACTAGTGATTGTTAAGTGAGGATTATCTGTAGGGAATTGGCAGAAAACTAGAGCTGTAAGCTGTTCAGAAAAGTAAAAAAAAACATGCTAGAAGAAAGCAACGTAAATTACTTCTGCACAGTTGCTAAGAAACTGCAAGGTTGTGTTAACAGAAATCTATATTGACATGGGGATGTTTTTACTTTGAACCTAGGTTCAAACCTAAAGCAAGACAAGGCCCACTGCAATTCACTTCCCTCTCTCTTGAATTAGCCTGCATTGAATTGTCTTGAGGCGAATTGGCCATGGCCAAGGGCAAGTTTTACATGATGGTTTACGATAGATAGGGGCAAAACATTGTCAGTTCAGTTCAATTTTGAGTTCAAAATTGATCTGCCTAGACTTGTCCGATGCTGATCTCAAGCCTCCTAACATAAGACGCGTGGCTTCAGATCCGACGGCAGTACGACTTTGCTTCCTTCCGCAGGATTTATCAACCCATCCTGGCTGAGATTCTCATGTAGGTTGGGTTCGTGTTGAGAAACATCCTTCGCGGCGCCCTGAGACAAGGGAGATCGGAAGGCCGAAAAGCCAAGCGAGCCGCCGAGATTGGAGAGGGAGATGAGCCAGCGCAGCCCGGTTCAAAGATGGCAGGTCGCCTTTCCGAGAGACGCGGACCCGTAACCCACGTTCCTCGGCCTTCGCCAGAGTCACTTTCAAGCTCCACCGGCGGCCGGGCGGAGTTGAAACCCGCCGAAGTGAAGGCTGGCTGGCTGGGGAACCTCGAAAGATTCCTTGACCGTTGCCATGACTTGAGAAAAGGCCGCCCCTTGAGCGTGAAGCGAGTTAAGACTCGAGCCTCTTGTCTCTGGACTCATGTGGAAAGCGGAAGAGGGGGGGGGGGGGGGGTAAAAGCTCCTTCTCGCGAAATTCACTGGAGGCGGCTTTCCAACAAGGCGATGGAGCATTAAACCCGGGCGAGCTTTTTTGAGAAAAGCCGGAGCAAAGGACCGGCCTCCAGCTCTTCCATGCGTGTTCAAGTGAGACCGGAGGAAAGAAGCGTCAAGGCAACCTAAACAACACTCCCCCAAGGCGGCCCTCCAATACCCCTGGGGTGGTAAACGAAGTACCGGAACCAAAACCTCTGGCCCACGGAGCTCGACGAGCTCGTTTGAACGAAACACCGGGCTCTTTGTGCCGGGAGGCGGGACCGAGAGCGCTGCAGTCGCGGGAAATGAAGGCGCTGGCGTTATAGAGCCCAACATGGAGTGCGTGATTCTGGATGCGCTCGAGGCGTTAGGGTGAGATGGAGGAGGGCCGCCAACTCGGGGCAACGGTTGGTGGGGTTCTCCCTTGAATGTGCACCGATGACACATTCAATCCGGCGGCTAGATAAAGGACCTCCTTCGGCGATGCAGAAAGGAAGGCTTGACCGGGCTGGTTGATCCGTCCAGATCTCCCGCTCATCGCCTCGGTTCCCCCACCGGGAATCGAAGAGCCTCGCCATGATTCGTTTTAATAGCCTTGCACCCACCTCTGCTCGGTCGGGAGGGGGGGGGGCGGGCGAGATTGTTCCCGCAGTTTTGTTGTGGGAGGCGTTTTGTTGTGCGCGTGCCCATGCAAGCATCTCTCCCCGCCTCTGCGAATCAAAGACTGGTGGAGAAATGTTTTCAAAATCCGTTGCCGTCATGAAGGTTCTTCTTTTTATATTCTGTGTTCAGTTCGTCCTCTCCACTGATGCCCAGAGCTTTAATTTTTCTGTGGTTGCTACTACAGGCTTGCTTGCTTGCTTGCTTGCTAATGTGTATATATAGCCTCGGAACATGTCAGTGTAATCTGTTCAAATGCAATATTTGCATTTTGCTACTTGATTTATATGGCTAAGATCGAGAGAGAAGAGGGCATTTTACAAGAATTAATACCTGTTGTGCTAAAGTCTTGTAGGAAATTATTTTTAAAAGGTGTATATATTTATTTATTTGTTGATTGATTAATTAATGGTCAGTTGACAGTCTGATCCTAAGGATGTTTATGTGGAAATATGGCAGGTTGGTTTCAGTTCAGTTACTTCTAAATAATGTGCTTTGTAATACATCATAAGAGATCCAGTTTGGAATAGTGGTTATGCACTATGCTAGAAACTGAGAGACTGCAAGTCCTGTTTTGAGCATAAAGCCAGATGGTGACCTTGGGCCAGTCATACACAGTCAGCTCTAGGAAGGAGGCAGTGGTAAACAATTCCAAGAATCTTGCCAAGAAAACTGCAGGGACTAATTCAGCCAGTCACCAGGATCCAATATTTGGGTGAAGATACAGATATATAAACATGAATAAATATACTGCAACCATATTTTAAACTTTGCTGATTTTGAAAAAGTGAAGTGGGATTGGATCTCATTAGTACTTGGATGGGATATCCCAGCCCTGTAAACTGTAAATAAATCTATCTATCTATCTATCTATCTATCTATCTATCTATCTATCTATC